TGGATAAAATAAATAATAAATGATGCAAATATTAACTAAAATTTTTTTTTAAATACATTTTTTTCATGAAGCAGATGATTTCGTGTGTGTGTGCGTTCGCCTGATCGGGAAGTTGCAGTGACAGAAATGGAGACATTCCAGATAAAGTTTGAAAGGAGTAAAGCCTGTGTTAATGCTATTAAGTAGGCTAATATGCCCAAAGAAGATATTTTGTTTTTTAAATAAATGTTCATTTAAAAGCAGCCCACGATCCGCGTATTATATTACCGTTATCACCTTATGGCTCCGATGAGGTTTTGTTCCGTCCTCCACGCTGTGACAACTCACAATAGACTATTTTTAGCCAAGCAGTGCAGAGAGCCACTTCAGAAACGTGCCGTGGCTGGTATAAACACAAGCACTGACTAGAGCGGGTGCGATCAGCTCCGGTAGCCGTGGAGCCGTAACGCGCCACAGACGTGTGCAGTGAGGCATAGATCAGCTCTAACGTCACTGAATATGCTGTTAAAAATGAACCATCTATTCATCATATCATCACGCAAAACATACACTACAAATAGTGAATTTTTCATTGTTTCTCGAATGCATGTCCCCACGCATCATGTACGTCGTCACACATTGACGTCATCAAATTGCGATCGGTTCGTGAGATCGGCCAAGTGTAGTGAGTACCGATCGAGTCATAAAATTAGATTATCGGCTGATACCGATCTCCGGCCGACCGATCGGAGCATCCCTAATTTTGATTATTAAGACCAACATGGAATCTCTACAGTTTTGTTTCTGTGCTGATTGTAATCACGTACTAATTTTGCAGAATGTTTTGTTGGTCCTGGAAAGACATTCCTGTCAGAAAAATAAGTTCTAATCCAATCCCTAGCCCTAACCCAGGGGTCTGCAATAGGCCTGGCCGATTATCGACGCCAATATTAAGCATTTTTATGATTATCGTTATCGTCATTTTCAAAACCGATTTGCCGATAAAATAATTTAATTTTGAAACACGCTATTTGGCTCTGATGCAGCCTGTCGGAACTCACCACTCTGTGGCCTAGAGCAATCTCCGCCCACCGCCCATCTGATTTGTTGGGAGTCACGAGTCCGACCAATCAACATGGAAGGCTAAAGGCACTGAAAGTTTTGCACTCTCACACCGAAAGCGCATGCTAACTGGAGCTGCTTCAGTGATCACGCATCAGTTGTCTCTCTAAGGCAGCAGCAGACGTTGCTGAAGTTGCAAGAAATCACAACCCGCTACAATGAAGTTGCAAAACACCGCAATATTATCTATTTATGGTTTCCGCGATAGGGAAAACGCGGATGGAATCGTGGAATCCAGTCATATAAATGGAAAGTACTGTATAACACGGAATGTCACGGAATTTGTCAAAGTTTGGATGAATTAATCAAAAGTAGGTCAGTACACTTAAATCGACTCGCGCTATGGACTAGTATCTGTAAATATTAAGCCGTAAAAAGACTATTTAAATATAAATCCTGCATGTTCTGCGTGCCTCTGTATATGTGAATGGCACAAACGCGCGGTTTTGTTTACTACACACATACTGAAGTGCGTGACGCTCGCGGTGTTTTCAGCATCTGCCGTCTCACTAAATGAGGACATAAATACATGAACAACATCCCCAGAACTGCTCTAAGAGTTACTTCATGAGCATTTGAGTAAAACTATCGTCATATCATACACATAGGCTACACAAACTTAAAAGGTCCTCATGGCAACCCGTCAAATTAAAAGTTCGGTTTAGCTACTACCACTACAACAATTACAACTTTTGTTTAAAAGAATAATCACACAATACGCTATTTCTTCCATGTTTAAATTTTAATAGTAAACCCCGTTTGCCAAAAATAGAGTTTAACTCTCATTTGATTAAAAGATAAATGAAATTAATGTTTTATGCCTTCATTTGCACTGCACTGTAAATTAAAACTAATGGAAATTACTGTCACATAGGCCAAGATTAAGATACTGTCACGTAGGCTAAGATTAGTATGACAAAAATTGAGACTTGAGATTGATTTCAATAGGCTTTTGAACCAAGTTTGCCTAAAATAGGCTATTAGTGTTATAGCGTCATTAAAATAGTTGCGGTCTTCTTAACAACTTCTACAATGGAGTAGACTACAATTCTACAATTAAATTATTTACACTTATATACATTGTGTTTTTTTAAGTTAATCAATTGATGTGCATTAGATGATGAATTGAACAGTCACCTCTTGTAAGTTATGATTTAGTCATCAGAAAATAATTATGAGAGGTTATGCTATTACACATACATTTCTAACATGTAAATTATTGAAGCCAAATACTTACATTTCCCCAAGCTGTTTAGCTGTAGTGCAGTATTCATAGGCTTAATCATGAAGCATACAATGGCCCCACTTTTAACTCTCTCTTTATATTACCCTTATTGTAGATGGATGCACGGAAGAAGACAAGAGTAAGAAGTACAACCAACACCAGTGAAGGCAGTTTTTGTCAGAGCCCTTGTTATTCTTAATTTTGACATTCATTTTCATTTTTTCACCACACATATATATCGGTTCAAAATATCGGTTATCGGTCTACTTGGTCTGTAATAATCGTATCGGCATCGGCCCTGAAAAACACATATCGGTCGACCCCTATGTCTGCAACCTTCAACATCAAAAGAGCCATTTTGGCCCCTTTCCCACCGAATAAAATTCACGTGGAGCCACAACCTATTTGATTTCTAAAATGAAGATAACACAGCATATAGCTAAAGTTTTATATTCAGTTATGTTACAGGGCAAGGGCGTAGCAATCATTTCAGAAGTGAGGGGGACAGAAATGTAAAATGTAATAATAATAATAATAAAAAATCCTTTCCTTACCTCTTACTTTTAATTGGCTAAGAAATAAATACACTGCTGGACAATATCCAATAATTTGTATTCTATAATATTTTTGATATATATTTTCCTAATGACAATTTAATGATTATGATTGGTTTATGTACTATAAACACTTTTTCCATTTTTATCACAGAATAAGGCAGATTAGGTTTTATTAAAAGCGTATTCTATATGCTACAGGGAGACACAGCGGAAGGGTGAGAGAGCCGCGGGTTGCCGACCCCTGCCCCAACCCAAAACTTAACAATAAACGAACCCTTAAATTACAGGGATATGGTAGGTTTTAATGGTGTACAAGCCCCTAACCCAGTTCTAAGCTCAACTCTAAAATTTGATTGGTTGTCATGAATGTTGTTCCAACTATGTTTTCTCTGAAACTAATGGAACTCAGGAATAAAGTCAGGTTCAATGATTGTAATCTGCAAAATTCTGCTGAATTCATTTAAATATAGGAAAATGTGCAAATGACAAGTCTGAATTCTGTAGAAATCTGCAGGGCAGGTTCTGTGCAGGCCTGGTCATGACTAACAATAAATGGTTCAAACAGGTGTCAGCGTCTGCCTGTCAATCACCTGATATAGCAGCAGTACGAGGCTGGACTCTAGGGCAGGCGGGCAGCCCAGCTGGGAATCCACACATGCTCCCAGCAGGCTTAGGAGCGGTTGTAGCACTGCACTGTGCAGGAGCAGGGGCTGATGTGACTGTCCGATCAGCATCTCAAACAATTTCAACAGCTCTAGCTGGCTGTCTGGTTCCAGACCACGGCGCACATGCCACTGTATCAACTCATCCAGGATGTTCTCTGCCACCACCATCTCCAGAATAGGACCCATTGCTGCAGACATTTCACAATCCACTGTCACATAAAACAGCCTCTCATCTATTACGCTAAACTCTGAAACAGTATAAATGTATGCTCCATCAAGCTCACAAGAGAGTGTTTTAACCTGGTGATTCAGTGTCTCCCCCTGCTGGTCTCTCTTCAGCTAGCAGGCACAGCATCTGATCTGTGTGATTGCGAACTGCAGTGAGATCATCAGCATAGCCACCCACTGAAGACTCTCTCAGTTTCAACACCCCTGACACCTGACAAAGAGGGAAGGAACAGTTAAATTCTATTTGTGGTAAGGTCAAAGAGGAACATGTGTCTATAATGATGTAGTGGAAAGCAATCCAAATAAGAGAGCACTGACGTACACTAAGAAGGAAAACCTGTAGATGTACATATATGCTTTATATGCTCATGTTTTATGTGAATAAAACAACAATTACTATGCATTAATACCAAGAATTTGGTAAACACATTACCAAAAAATGCGAAATAGAAGGCAACCATTTCTTTCAATGCTGCATACAGTGATCATTTATAGCCAGTGCACAAATTGAATTTATATGATTCCAGTTGTACTAAGGAGTTTATTTGCACAATTAGTATAAGGGAAAATAAGCCTATGCTGTGTCTCACCTGTCTCCAGTGGTTTTCAAACACCATAAGACAAGTCTCGGGGTCAGCAGTGCATGGGCTGGATGGGGCTGCATGTCGACCGGTCCGAGTGCCTGGACCCCTTGGATTTAAACGACTCAGCCAACTCATCTTAGTGTACAGGCTGATCCAAATTTGATCAAAAGGTCAACAGGGAAAGAATAAGGGGGGAAAGAGGGAAGAGAAGTGTGGAGAGGGATAGAAAAGGGAAAAGGGGAAGGGGGAAGGGCGGCTCACAAAAGGCGTCAAAAAATCAAGAAATGAAGAGTCCAGCTTGAAGAAATAAGAGGTAAAATCATAGAAAGGATGGAATCCTGCTGATGTCTGCAGCAACAGTCACTGTACACCAGTGATCAGTGTGTGAGCATGTGAGGCTTGTCTGCACGCCCTGTCATCCAGTTTGCTGTCGGCACTATACGCCATACCGATACATAGACTCCTCCACACACACCTGCAGGGGCAGAAAGAGAGCAAGAGGTCATTGATGACACATTCACACCTGCAGGTAAAAACCAAAACAGTACATCCAGTCAGTATAAAGGTTAGTTTCTGAGGGAGATCAAAAAAATTCCATTAGGGCTGCAATTATTTTGAGAATCACTTAACATACATGTAAATATGATTAAAGGGGACATAACACATGCAGTTTCTGTCAATCTCATGTTAATCTTGAGTACCTATACAGTAGTATTGCATCCTTCATATCTCCAAAGAGTCTTTAGTTTTATCAGATTTATAAAAGAAAAATACAGCTGTACCACTTCTCTCCGAAAACAGTCGTGCTCCTGGAGGCGTGCCGTGGGCAGAGCTAAAGAGTCACAAGCACGCAAAGCTTTTGCGTAGCGATCATCTGCAAGCTGTGACATCGACATAAATAATTCCCTTAACGCTGGGTTCTTTGTGAAGCTGAACAAGGTCATCTTTCCCTCACAACGAAAATCACACTTTTTTGGTGACATTGTTGATTTTGTGGTCAAAAACAAAATCCTTCTCGAGCAAGACTTGTGTAGTGCGACTTCCATAACCCGAATGAAGCACATTGATGGACGTGCTCTTGCTCTCGCTCTAGTTGATGTGTGCGCACGTTCTTCCTGGAATAGTGCCCATAAAAGGAATTCTGCCATTTATTATGTCATACAGGGCCATACTAAAAAAAAACTTTCAGAAACTTATACGAACCCTGAAGGAGTGTATTTGGCACAGAAATACTCCATCATATGTCCATCTCGTTTTTTGAGACTTTGGTCATGTTTAGCACGAGAAGCAGTGCAAATAAGTCAGAATGCATGAAATAACATTAGACATCCCCTTAATATATACACTACTGTTCAAAGGTTTGGGGTGAGCAAGTTTTTTTCCTGGCAAGGATGCATTTAACTGATCAAAAGTGACAGGGACTGGAGTCAAGAATGCTGAAAAAGAAGGAATAAATTACATTTTTAAATATACTATAAAAAATATAGTAATTTTAAATTAAAATAAAATTTCACAATATTACTGTTTTTACTGTATTCTTGATCAAATATATGTAGCCTTGGTGAGCATGAATGATGTCCTTCAAAAACATAAAAAAAATGTACAGACCCCAAACTTTTGCACTGTAGCATAAATTCTTACTTTAGTTTAAATGTCTTTTAAGATATTTTATCAAAAATAAGTCTGAAGCAAAATTATGGTACAGTGTGTGAATATTAATTGAGTCATACAGATGTTGCTTGGTAAACTTCCTAGAGGAGTCGGTCGAGTAATTTAATAAATATTCATAATTCAAGGATTCCCAATAATAGGATTCGTCATCTGATTAATGCCCATTTAACGTCTGCCTTCATTTATTATGTTTGGGCTATTGGGGAAATGTACTTATTCACGAGCAAAAGCTTCACCTTAGTTGTTTGTTTGTTTGTTTATTTCTTTCTTAATGCCAATCCAGCATCTATGGCTATATTCATGGAGAGAACCAGTTAATCCATACACAAATCGATCCATACACAAGTCTTGTCTTTACACACACGTCTGGGGACAATTTTACCTATTAATTTAAAGTTTCAATTAACCTAACCTGCATGTCTTTGGGCTGTGGGAGGAAACCGGAGCACCCGGCGTAAACCCACGCAGACACAGGGAGAACATGCAAACTCCACACAGAAAGGTCTCCTGTCCTTAGCTTCACCTTAGTAGGACTTCCATATCAAAAAACATCACCAGTAAAGGACCAGTGAGCTTCAAAGTGCTCCTAACCAAAATGTGTTAGCATAGCTCCCTGAGATAAAGAATTAATGCTTGAAAACAAAAAGAAATGAAAGGTTTAGTCATAAACAAAGCACACTAGTAGAATTCAGCACACTAGTACATCTCCGTATCAGATTCTCAATCTAATCAATATGGTGTCTGGTGAAACAACTGCACCCATAACACAACAGGCGAAGACACTCGCAACAATAAATACTGCAAGTGGTAGCCTACTGTATATATTCATCTATGCATTCAGCTGGCTCTCTGGCATTTCTGAAAACCCACCTGCAAACAACATCTGTATCAATAGATTTCCAGTGATGTTACACACTCTCACAACTTTCCCTGTGGTCTTAACTAATGCAACAACACTTCTTATGTTATTATCAAAACCAGTGACACTTCATATTATCTTAGTATTCTTTTGAGACTTTAATTTCAGTACAAAAAACAAGGCAGGACAAATAAAAAAAAAAGACTCAAGAGAAATGGGTCAAAAAAATTCAAAAGCCATTTTCGAGGAAGCAATGAACGCATACAGACACTCCACCCTGCCATTCACTAAAACCTTCTTTGACTGTGACAAGAAGTAAGGCTTCCTTCCCTATGAGAACTCCCTCATCCCAAGAAAGACAGTTCACAATTCCAATGACATAATGCTATAGAGGCTGTCTCTTAAGGAAGGGCCCCTGTTCAAGGAAGTAACCATGTGTCACAAACTCAAGGGGATACAAAGGCTTCTTGGTACTGTAGATTGGATGCTATGAGTCACAGGCAAATTCAACTACAGCAGGGTTCAATGTTCCAGACCAAGTCAAAGAACATCTACTTACAGTTTCTAGCCAGCAAAGAGGTGGTATGATAGCTTGGCATAGATTCTCCTTTAATTAGTTTAGTGTCTTTCAGAGTGTACACAGCCCAGCTGACCACTATTCCTCCAATACTCTGTCTCTCTCCCTTGTAGTTATTGCTTAAGTCAATCACTCACTAGTTACGTCACTGCCAAATCATACTGTGTGGCAGCTACAATGACTATGTTATCAATAGGGCTGTCACGATAACTACTTTTTGTTGTGCGATATATTGCACCAAAATTAATTGCCATAAATCATATTATTGTCATTTTAAGACCATTTTATGCCACTGATTATATAATGACTGACAGTATGACAATATAATAGCATAATAATGCAAGTACACTCTTTCAAAGAACATTTTATTCTTAAGAATATTTAGACATTGGAATCGGAATGTGAAAAAATATATGCTAAATAAATAACACAAATAAATAATAAATACACCTTTGTTAACAAAAAAGTGCAAGGTAACATGAACTAGAACAAAACAAATTAACATGTTTAACAAAGTCAGTTTAGACTTTTAAATGTGTCTCACACAGAGGCACATATGCCTCAACAGGCCATATCTGCTACCAGATCCATTTTTTATTTTTAGGCAGATTCCGAGAAAGGAACACCAACATGTTTACCTTGTGGGGCTTAAGGCAGGTTCTTTCTGGGGTAACAAATGTTACCAGCTGTGCTAAACATTCTTTCTGAGCTAGTGCTTATTGCACAAATGCACATGTATTTTTGTGCTAACTTGGCTAATAGGGGAAATCTTCTATGGTTATCTATGGAAATCTATGGGTTCACACCTTCTCTTCACCTGTCGCTGTCCGCTCTGTGTGTGCGTGGGGAGATGCTGCCTGAGCCCCGCCTTCGCCACAGAGAGCAGATGAGATGACAGAGGCAGCGCGATTGACTAAAATGTTGGTGACATTCATTTTTATGTAAAAAATAATATAATCATTATTTTTAATAATAAAAAATGATCCGTCGCAATATATCGCGGCACCAAAAATGACCGTGCTCATTTCCATATATCGTGCGATAAGTCGATATATTGACTATCGCGACAGGCCTAATCATCAACACACGCACATATTATATTCAGCACAATACAACTGAATTGCAGTAGGCAATTGCTGAACCTGTAGGCATGTGCAAAAACAACAGTACCATGACATTTACAGTCCATAATAATGTAAAATTTAGGTTAAAAATGTTCTTTGCAGTAGTAAGTTCTATGGTATCAATAACAAAAAAGACGCTCAGTCTTTATGCTCAAGAATATTTCACAATCAGAAGGTTTCAGATACAGGGTTTCTGCATGGGTTATGAAGGTACATTTAAGACTTTTAAAGATCTTTTTAGGACCAAGTAAAGAAAATTTCAGGAATAAATTAAATTGAACACAATACATTAATATGGTCTCTAAATGTAAATTGTAAATATCTTGTATTAGCAATGCTTCAAAGTTTAAAAATACAACTTCCAACAGATGTCCATTACGTTGTAATTCGTAATGGACAAAAAAAATCGACTTAATTCAGCAAGTTTTCATACTACCTTAACAGATGTTTGTTCTTGTTTTCTCAGAAAACAAGACTTCATATGTTCAGTTTTCATCTCAAGTAAATGCGTCTTGTTTTAAGGATGTTCAGATATTTGTATTGGAAACAAAACAAAAATACTGAGGAAGATATTGATTTTTTTCTTTGAGTTTAACACTTTTTGCTAAACTTAAGACCTTAATTTTTGTATAAGGGTGAATTAAGGCTTTTTAAGACCTGCAGAACCCCTGCAGATAGCATGATTATCACCTATAATTAATATTAGGTGCCACACCAATGCAAAGAATAACTGTGTGCTACGTCCTAGTCTTACTTTATTGACATTGTAACTCACCTGCTTCACAAATCCCAAGATAAATTTTTGGTAACTCACAAAGACAGTTCACCTACAAGTTTCCACTGAGGTCAGTAATTTTGTAAAGGTTTTACAAATGCTTTGCTGGCTACAACATTCCAGAATAATACAACTAGTGGTGCCGTAATGGGACTAAACAGCGGAGATTATCTGAGCAGTTCAGAGTCAGTCAGCTCTGCCCGTTTACTGACTGCTTAATGCCCCAGGGAGAACAGTCAGCTCATTGTGTTTCACTGTGATTTCTTTATCGACCGTGCAACCACAAACACCAGTGATGCACACTGCTGGCATATCAAGATTCATATGTCTTTTAAAACATTAACAAATACAAACAGTTGTGACTCACCACAGGCACATGCAAAGTGTTTCAGAAATTGCTTTGTAGAAGTAACTGTAAGAATCAATATATCATTGGTGAGGAGGACAATCATGCTGAACCAAAAGATCA